AATGCTCGACGTCAGGAGGGACCATCGCTTGTGGTTGCTCCTCTGAGTGTCATCCCGGCCTGGTGCGACACTTTCAATCATTGGTCACCTGACATCAATTATGTTGTCTACCTGGGACCCGAAGATGCTCGGAAAATCATTCGTGAGCACGAGCTGCTTGTCGATGGCAACCCAAAGAAGCCCAAGTTCAACGTCCTTGTTACTTCATACGAGTTTATTCTCCAGGACTGGCAATTCCTGCAGTCTATCAAATGGCAGACGCTCGCTGTTGATGAGGCTCATCGCCTCAAAAACCGTGAATCTCAATTATACAACCGGTTGGTAAGCTTTGGCATTCCTTGCAAGATCCTAATCACGGGAACACCTATTCAAAATAACTTGGCCGAACTTTCTGCTTTGCTCGATTTTCTTAACCCTGGCAAAGTCGACATTGACGAAGATCTTGATTCCCTTTCTGCCAGCGATGCACAAGAGAAACTACAACAACTTCACAAGGCCATTGCACCTTTCATTCTGCGACGAACCAAGGAAACCGTCGAGTCAGATCTTCCCCCCAAGACTGAGAAGATTATCCGCGTCGAGCTTTCAGATGTCCAGTTGGAGTACTACAAGAACATCCTGACCAGAAACTACACAGCCCTTTGCGATGCCACTAATGGACATAAGAACTCTCTCCTGAACATTATGATGGAACTGAAGAAGATCAGTAACCATCCTTACATGTTTCCTGGTGCTGAGGAGAAGGTCCTGGCCGGCAGCGTCCGCCGTGAAGATCAAATCAAGGGCTTGATTGCCAGCAGTGGAAAGATGATGTTACTCGATCAACTTCTTTCCAAGCTAAAAAAAGATGGCCATCGAGTCCTGATCTTCAGTCAAATGGTCAAAATGCTTGATATTCTTGGCGACTACTGCTCTCTGCGGGGTTACAAGTTCCAGAGATTGGACGGCACTATTGCTGCTGGCCCCCGACGCATGGCCATCAACCACTTCAACGCTGATGATAGCGATGACTTTTGCTTCCTTCTCTCTACTCGTGCAGGTGGTCTTGGAATCAACCTCATGACGGCAGACACTGTCATCATTTTCGACTCTGACTGGAACCCTCAAGCTGATTTGCAAGCCATGGCTCGTGCCCATCGCATCGGCCAGAAACGTCCTGTAAACATCTACCGCCTAGTCTCCAAGGAGACTGTCGAGGAAGAGGTTCTCGAAAGGGCTCGCAACAAACTCTTACTCGAATATCTGACCATCCAGGCTGGTGTCACTGACGATGGCAAGGCAGCTTTCAAGGAGGAGCTCAACAAGAAGGGCCTCAGAGTTGAAGGCCCGTCTTCGTCTGAAGATATCCAAATGGTCCTCAAAATGCGATCATCCAAGATGTTCGAACAGAGTGGCAACCAAGAACGGCTTGAACAACTCGACATTGACTCGATTCTTGAGAACGCTGAGGTTACCAAGACCAAGGTCGACGACAAGATAAACCTAAGCAGTGGCGGCATCGACTGGGACAATTTCATGCAAATCACTGATGTGAAAGTGGATGACATCAACCTTGATTGGGATCAAATTATCCCCGCCGACAAGATCGCCGAAATTAAGGCCGAGGAAGAAAAGAAACAGCATGAGGCCTACGTTGCCAAAGTGGCGGCTGAAAGTGCTCCACGCAGAGCGGCCATCAAGAGCCGCCACAGAGAGAGCGAACGTGATGTTCGCCTCAAGAAACGTCAGAAGGAGCAGCTAGACAAGGAGGAGGATGACCGAAGGCCCGTGCCTCTCGATCCTAAGCGCCCTTTGAACGATAAGGAACAACGTAGTCTAATAAAGGCGTACTTCCGTTACGGCTCAATGGATGATCGCGGGGATGAAATCATCAAGGAAGCCAAGCTGAAAGAAAGGGATCCAGACTACGTCAAGTCGGTCCTCGATGAATTCATCAAGGCAGCTAAGGAGGCAGTGGACGACAACTATGCTCAGATGGTGGAAGAAGAAAAGAGAATCGGGAAGACTCTCACGAAGAAGGACCGCAAAGCTGTCCTGATAGACTTCGTCGATCTCAAGAAGATAAATGCTGAAACGGCCATAGAACGTCCGAAGCAGCTTCAGCTTCTCCGACAAGTCATTCGCAGCCACAGTGACTGGCACACGTTTCGTCTCCCTGACGCCACAAAGGCCGCTAGCTACTCTTGTGCTTGGGGTGCTAAAGAAGATGCCATGCTCCTAGTCGGTATTGACAGACACGGCTTTGGCGCTTGGCCCCAGATCCGCGACGATCCTGATCTGGAGATGGCAGACAAACTCTTCCTCGAAGAACATCGCGTGGAGAAGAAGGAGGAACGTAGCAAGGGCAACGACAAGATGAAGGCTCCTGGCGCCGTCCACCTTGTTCGTCGATCAGAGTATCTGCTTTCAGTCCTGCAAGCGAAACACTCTAATGATCGTGGTGTGCAGCGAGCAGTAGAGAATCATCACCGCAACAACAAAAAGACACTTGCCAATGGCCATCGTGGCAGTGCCACAGCGTCTCCTGCTCCGCACAATGGCAAGAAGTCTCGCGACCGCGACAGAGACCACCTTCATGGTGACCTGCACCGATCCCGAAGCCATGCGGAGGAGCGTGGAACCCCACGACCGGATTTCAAGCGAAAACATCTATCTCATGAAGATAGCCGCAGCCCTAAGCACCGCCGCATCGAGGAGCATCGTCGATCCAGTAAGCATGGAGAGGACAGGGAGAGGACAGAGAAGCGGCGTCATCGGGATGATGAGGACCGTCGTGATGAGCGCCGCGATGAACGACGGGATGAACGACGGGACGACAGGCGACATGATAAGCACCGCCTCAGCCACAGCCATCGCGATGATCGTCGGGAAGACCGCCGAGATGAGCGACGAGACGAGATGAGAGATGAGCGACGAGATGAGCGACGAGATGAGCGACGAGATGAGCGACGAGATGACCGTCGTGACGACCGTCGTGACGATAGACGACATGACCGACATCGTGAAGATCGTGATCGCGAGCGAGAGCGAGCCCAGGACTCGCATCCTCAGGATGAGCGCCGAGCCAAAGCTCTGCGAAGGCTGGACGAACTTCGCCGAATTGGCGATAACAAAGATAAGAGAGCTGAGGACAACGACGCCATGATTTGGTTTCTACTCAAACCGGTCCGAGAGAACTTTGAGAGGATTCTTTCTACCACCAAGGACAACGTCAAGTCAAGCAAGGAGCGGGCGTCTATCTTTGGCGTCGAGCTGGTCGTTATCGGCACTTTTCTCGACGAGAAATTGGCGGCCACTGCTGCTGACGAAGGTCTCAAGAGCAACTTCTGGTAAGTCTTATGATGATGGACGGCTTCTTGTGGCGGGCCCAACTAACACTGATGATAGGGACTTTCTGGCAGCTTTGTGGCCCGTAGATGATACAAGCAAGAGCGTCACGGGAAAGCGATTGAGCAATATGTATCGCACTCTACATTCCCGTAGCAAGGGATCCGGTTCGACCAAAACCAATGGTGCATAGTCACCGCCTCCGCCAGCTTTAGAAAAGTAATGGACTATTCCTAACAAGGAACAATCAGTCCGAAACCAAAACAAACACACCCACCTACCTCCCTGTTACGAGCAGATTATACCTGATATTGTTTCATTATGACTTGAGCATCTTTTTATTCAGTTTCCGGCATAGGATCGGCGTTTGGTTGCGCATACCTCAAAAGACAGGGGCTGTCAGCATGTTTGCCCTTTACTACCTACACTTGACTGCATTTTGAGCAAGAGCTAAGTGAGGAAAGATCTGAGGTTCAGGTTCAGATCATACCCGAATAGCATGGTATAGGACTTGTCATAGGTGGAGTTGTCTCGTCTTGATCGACTTGGCTGTTGCCAAGATTATACACACGTACGTTGGGGGGCACGTCTTATGCATTTGAGCTGGGCCAGCGTTGCGCGTCTTTATTGAACTGGATTTGTTATCTGGGCCTCGGTGTTGGTCACCTGCTCAACACACCTCAAGAAAAGGGGTGAGAAGGTGATGCGGAGGCCAACACAATGCATAGAGACCCATATTGTTGTTAGATGAAGATTACTGCATGGTATGGACAGTGGATAAAAAAGAAACGAGCAACGACTGCCAGGCGATGGCTTCTGCTTGGGTTGATAGAAGCTCTAAACTATAAAGAAAGATGAACAACTCCGAGGTTCGCAGTAACCTGCCCCGCCTTGATATGTAAGATATTTTCACGTAATATGTATATAAAATGCTGTGATTATGTGTAGCACACGGTGATGCCCAATCCAAGGCTGCAACCAACCACAATCAATGTGTGTTACTCGTCATCAGGCTTATTTGCATGGAGGATGAAAATATGGTTGCTTCGTAGATGTCTGATAGTTGCTTTCGTTGAAATGTTCAATATTCTGTGCGACTCCCTATCCTAGCTAGTTTCAGCCAAATATGTCAGTGACCAACACCGAGATCGAATGTGCTCGAAAGATTGCCCTTCTTTATTACCTCGGTAGAATTGGCTGCAAGCCCCAAAGGAACAGCATTCAAGGCTGCGAGCCTATACGCAAAGCAGACATCAACAGGGTACTGTCCTTGCAAGATGAGAAGTTACTCACGTCAACACTGGCGTTTCTTTCGAGTATCCGAGAAGATGCTATGAGGGTCACAGCAGTTTGTGCAGAGGAGAAGAAATCGAATCTTTTGGTGATGGTTGCAGCCAATGCAAAAGATAGTTGTCACTCATCATCGTATCTTGACGCTGCCAAGGAAGGGGTTGATAAGATATTTAGATCACTCAATCGGGAGACTCCAGGTAAGTCTAAGTCAAGGGACACAGCAAGCATCTTCTGGGAGTTCTCGTTGTCGGATTCTCAGCATCGTCGTCTCTATGTGTCGAAGCCGAATAATGAGCAGAGCGAGATTCATCAGGCGCGGCCAAAGACAAGGTTTTGATACCATATTAAAGAAAGTCAAGAAAGAAATGGCTCGGTTTACAATGAATGACGACAAGAGGGAGTACATGAGACTGAGCCAAGTGCTTATTTCCAGAATAGAGGATTTTCAGATAGAGTTGGCGCAAGATCCATCCAACACATCAGCATTGGACAAGAAGCTGGAGTTGATTATCAACACATTTGACGATATATCGAGAATATCAAGTCTTTCAACAATGTTGCTCCAAAATATTGGACCGAGGATGGAACCGGACTTGTACAGTGGCTTACTGAACACCGTTAACAAATTGGCGCACTATGAAACTTGTGCCGGGACACTTGTGAAGCTTTCGAGGACGTATTCGATACTTGGACTCACCTCTACTATTCCCTTCAGACTTGATGGCACAGCATTCGAGAAGCCACCAGCAGAAACCGTGATCTTCAAGTTGGGAGAGCATTTGAAGAAGCTCAGAAAGGAGTACAACACCAACTGGGACTTGGACAACTTCGGCCAAAGACTGGCAACGAATACGAAAAAGTTCTGGGAGGACTTCTTGAGAGTCACGAAAAAGCCAAAGATTCACGCTGAAATTCAACTCATGTGGCACTTTGAACGTCACCCAAGTTCGAAGCCTTCCCGAGTTATCGCCTCTAACAAAGATGCGTGTTTCTTATGTAACGCCTTCATATCGTTCCATGGAAAGTACATGATACCCAAGACACACGGGAGAATCTATCCTGGATGGAGGCTGCCATCGACTGGGCTCGATGAGACTAGGGGACTATTTGTTAGAGAACTTGAACGGATTGCTGTGGAAAGACTCAATGTGATAAATCAACAGGGGTTTCAGAAGAATATTGACCTTTTGGAGAGCACAATATCATTAGTTGCTATTTCTACAACCTCCCCGAACAGATCCAGAGAAACGAAAATCATGCGACCAGCCATGACAATTACCAACACTGAGATAAACAACGAGGTTTTGGATACGATGGAGGAGAAACGTGCTGCGACATATCTGCTGCAACCAACGAAACTAGGACAATCTAGAGCTGGAGTCAAGACAAAGACTAAGAACCTGGACGTCAAGAGCGCCAAAGTCTCCTTAAGACCTAGTAACTCTCCAATGAGTTCACGGGAGACCATGGTTCTGGCACAGGAGTCAGCCAATTAAACCAAAAAAGCCCAAGAACAAGCCCCTATTTCAGTCGGAGAGCCAAATGATATCGCGTCCAAGGAGACTGAACATGAGCTGCGCAAAATCACAAGCCCGGAGACAGATCAAACACGCCCGTCGAGCACTTGTTTCTCAGAACCGAAGCATTCCGACCACAAGTCAAGCGATAGCCCGACGGCGTGGGAGCAAGTAAAACAGGATTCAACCAAAAGAATAAAGCTCAACTCATTCAGCAGCCTTTACATCGAGTACACATCCTCAGATCCAAACACATCGAAAGTTCTCAAGATCAAGGCCAAGAGATTGTCAGTTGAGGAAGCAGGAGAAGTCACAGACGGGAGTGACCATGTTTATGACTTGGATAGTCTGTTAACACTGGATTGTGACCTTGGAAATTGTCAACAGGTCAAGATGAAGGCTAAAGGGGTGGTTTATGTTGTGGATCTTGGTGATTTTGCTTGTCAGGATGAATAAAACATGCCATTCCGCCCATTAAGAGGTAAGCTGCTGGAGGTCGTTGTGCTAAGATAAGCTATTCGAGAGTAGGTAGGTATAAGTAGACTGAAAAGGCTTGCATGGTATTGCTTCAACCGTCTTCTATTCTGAGCATCGCCACGTCACTCAAAGGGCGTCCAAGGTTCACCAACGAATGCCCAACGATAAAATTGATGTGAAGCATCAGCCAAGAAGCCTTGATAGCGAACTCGACCAAGCGTTAGCTAAACTACCTATCGATGCTTGGGTAGCATCATAGCTACCAGAGAAGACAAGCCAATGTCTGTTGTGTCGCTTTCGTACTGGGATTGAGTGGGATATGATGACTACATGATCCTCGTTCTAGCATCTTAAATGCCGCATCAGAGGCAATATCATAGAACGGATCCTTGTGTATAGTAAACATCCTGCAGTCATTGGTTGACTTGGACGTATAAAGGACAAATAAATACAATCAATGACCGACGGGACCACGAATACAAGTTCCTATTACCTCTTGAATAGCCATATCATATCTTGAGCTACAGTACGAGCACAACTCACAACATTAGTACTAATCGCAATAGTCATTAATTTTATTGTTGCTCATGTCTCACACATGAACAAATAAACGACGCTCATTGACTGCATCACGATATGCGGTGGATCCGTGGGGAAACACCAAATCACCGCCTCGTCCCTCGTCCCTCGTCCTCTCACTCAACCAATCTCATGCATAGCATCGCCTGAATAATCGCATCATAACAAATCACTCTACCTCTTGTCAGCACCACATATCACAGCAGCTCACCGAATAACAATCCTAATCCCAATACCTTCACCAACACCAACACTAAGTACTACGCCATCATGTCATCCTATACTCTTGAGCGTCAAATCGCAGAGCTCGCCGTGCTACGGGCATCAATCCTTACAAAAAGAGTCCAATCGACCGTCAGCGGCATTTCAAAAGCAGACGACTCTCCAGTCACCGCTGCTGATTTCGCCGCTCAAGCTGTTCTCATCAGCGCCCTCCGCAAGGTATTTCCCGGTGACAACTTCGTCGGCGAGGAAGATTCTAGCGCTCTCAGGGAAGATCCCGCCTTGAAACAGCGTGTTTGGGAACTTGCCTCTGGCGCTCACCTCGAGAACGCAGACGACGAAGCCCTCCTTGCGAGCCCCAAAGATGTCGATGAGCTTCTTGAGGTGATCGATCTTGGAGGACGTGGTCAAGGTGGGAGAAAGGGGCGATTCTGGGTAATGGATCCTATTGATGGAACAGCTACGTTCCTCAAGGGGGAACAATACGCTGTCTCCCTAGCCTTGGTAGAGCATGGAAAGGAGGTCGTTGGTGTTTTGGGCTGTGCGAACCTCAAGCCTGTGGATGATAAAGTTGCAGAGTCAACCATCGACAAAGATGGTCTGGGTCTTATGCTCACCGCGGTTCGTGGGCAAGGCACCACCATTCGCAAGATGGATTTCAGCGGTCTCCAGCCAGCTCAGCCTCTTGACAGCGTCGCCAAAGCCTCAAGCCCCGCTGAAGCTCAGATCATCAACTACTCGAGTGGCTCGACATCTCGTCACGACCTCATCCGCAAACTCGCAAGCTCTTTCGGTGCCAAATTTCCCAACATCGAGCTGTACTCATCGCATATCCGTTATGCGGCACTCCTTGTTGGCGGCGGTGATTTTCAGCTGCGTATCCCTTCATCTGACGATGTCATGATGCACATCTGGGATCATGCTGGGGCTCAACTTATCTTGACCGAGGCCGGCGGCAAAGTAACCGATCTTGACGGCAAGGATATGGACTTTGGAGCTGGAAGGGATCTAACCCAGAACAATGGATTGCTTGCAGCGAGACAGGGTATCCACGCTGCCGTTCTTGAGAGTATGAAGAGGATTCTTGCTGAAGACGCCGCCTCCACTTAATCAGCTATAAAATAAAAGGCCCTATCGAGATCCTCCACATATATCGAAACTTAATCCAAGATGCTGGTATCTACGTTCACATCGATGTTCTATACATGCCAAACCCATATCTTACATCAAGCTGCTTCGGCCTCCAATCTCCATACTTCCCTGCCCATCCTTCATTTGGCCACTTCTACCCACAACAAACTCGGTATATATCCTTTGCAATCTGGTCTTCTCCTCAGAACTGATACTCGCTCGTGTGCTATCCAGAGCCTTTACGAGGTGGCCCCATTCAATCAATACCTCCCTCTGATCGCTGCTTTGCGCCTTGGCGTCCGTGTTTGCGGCGGGAGCTCCGTGGATTTGCTTCGACTTCTTACGAGCTATCTTGATCTCTTCAAGCTTTGCCAAAATAGATGCGTTCTCGACTAGAGCAGCAGACTTGCTTTTTGGCGTCGCCTCGGTCAGAGGTTTGGCGTCTTTACCGTAACGGAACTGGACGAAGCTAGGTGTGGTGTTCGACTTGCCATTGGTTCCGTTGCGTGGTTTAGAAGTGACTGTAGGTCCATCAACGTCCAAAACATCATGAATAGCCTCGAGCTGAGCATTGGAAACAAGAGCCTGGATGTCAGCACCTGAGAAGCCTTCAGTACGGCGAGCAATGTCCGTCAGAGGCCCGTTGGATTCGGTCAACTCGTCTGAGAGTCTGACTTTTTGGAACAGTGCCTTGATGATGTCAACACGATCCTCCAGGGAAGGCATATCGCACAGCAAAGACTTGTCCAGACGGCCGGGACGAAGAAGAGCAGGGTCGATCAGATCAGGCCGTGAAGTAGCTGCCAGCACGTAGACACCTGACAATCCCTCGGCACCATCCATCTGTGTGAGAAGCTGATTTACCACACGATCCGTAACACCTGTAGAGTCGTGTCCTCTCTTGGGTGCAATAGAGTCAAACTCGTCGAAGAAGAGTACACATGGCTTCGCAGCCTGGGCCCTATCAAACAGATCTCGAACACTCTTCTCAGAGGCACCGATATACTTGTTCAGAATTTCAGGGCCCTTGACACTGATGAAATTGAGGCCACACTCGCCTGCAACAGCGCTGGCAAGAAGTGTCTTACCGCAACCGGGATATCCGTAAAGAAGAAGGCCAGATCGAAGGCGCAGTGGACACTGAGCAAAGATTGGCGCATATTTAGTCGGGTATTGTAGCGTCTCCAGGAGCACCTGTCGTGTCTCTTGCAGCCCTCCAATCGACTTAAAGCTTGTCGACGAACTCTGCAGCGACACATTCCTCAGTGAGGCTGGCGTGAACCCCTTGAGGGCCTTGTCAAAATCAGCCCTTGCCAAGTGAATGGCGCCTGTCGAGTCTGGCGACTCAGCAATGGCACGAATGATAGCCTCGTTCCTCGCACGAGAAACAAGGACATTGATGTCACCAGGCATATAGCCGTCTGTAGACCCAGAAATGTCAAGAAAGTCAAGATCCTGGTCCAAGATGAAGCCGCTCGTCTTTGCCGGATGACTCTCCTTGCTCGCATGACTAGCGCCGTCCATCCAAGCACCACTATCTTCCGTCATGCTGCCGTCAGCAGTTTGTGGTCGACTTTCATCGCTGAACTGTGTCTGAGCTTCGTCAACCGTCATAGCATCCTGCATGACGATAGACTCCATCACCCGGCGTCTCGATTCCTTATCAGGCGCCTTAAGCTCAACAATCTCGCGCACAACATGGCCACTGACTACAACACCATTGATTGACTCCTTGCCCTCGGCTGTGGCCAGGAGGACAACACCGCTGTCACGGGTACAGTATTGTCTGACGATCGAGCACAGGATCTCACCGACTTGCCTGCTCCTTCCATTGTCATTGCCAACCTGAAGTTCCGTTTCTACAGGACAAAGTTTGTCCAGGTCATCAAGAACCACCACAGCTTTTCCGTTTAAGCGTGCACCCCAGCTGGCAGTGGCGAACAAACGGTTCAAAGTTTCCTTTATCGTTGAGATTCGTGTCTCGTCGTTGACTAATTTCCGACAAGGGTAGTATAGTGTATGGAATAATGAATCTTGTCGTAGCTTTTGTGCCAAGTATCGAGCAATGGAAGATTTGCCGGATCCCATGCCACCAGTGAGAAGGACCGAAGAAAGGTGGACAAGATTAGACTGTAAATTATCCAGTAAGGAGTCGATTCCAACAAGGAGCGAATCATGGGTTGGTTGACGCTCGAACCCGTCCGTCTCGGTCAGCCACGATGGCCGAGGAGTTGGTGGCTGAAAGTCGATAGGGATTTTGGTATCGAGCCCAAGAAGCCAATTCGCAGTGTCTTTGTTCTCTTGAAAATCACCACCAAAGGCAAATTTAATGATGCCGCCCTCCCACCCCTGAGGAGGATCAAGACCGTCGTATAAGCCCATGATGGAGCCGTCTGTCAGAGGCCCTTGAAGAAGCCCATCAGTACCTCTAGTAGCGGCATAGATCTGTCGGAACCGCTTCGCAGACTCTTCCTTCTCAGCCTTGGATTCTCCACCAAAACGCAAGCCTTCAACTGTCTTTGCACTTGGGGCGAAAGGAAAAACCTTGATGCTCTGAACCGCAGTCTTGGGGAGTTGCTGTGGAGCTGCTTGAAGCTTTACTATCCCGCCAACCATGCCAGAACACCCAAGGCTTGCACAAAGGGGTGACGAAAGAGCAACTGATTGACTGTTGGGAGGATCGATCCATGATCTGAGATGAGCAATGACTTTTGTGGCCGCAGTCGTCCCAGCAGGAACGCCGCCTTCTTCAGGCTGGGGCTGTTGCAGACCAGCTGGTCTAATAACATCGACCGCGACATAGTTGACCCCTTTGAAGGCTTCGCCGGAGAGAAGGTCGTGATCAACCCAAACACTCAAGTCCTGGACCAGAGGACCTTCATCAAACCATTCTTCGCATGAGCTTCGGTCAAGACCACGCAGAAACATAGTAGGTCTCCGCTCTTCCTTGGCGCTTCGCCGGCGCACCGTACTGGTCGCGCTTCGTTTGGACTTGGAAGTGCTGGCTACGCTGCGGTGGTCGCCCGAGCTGTGCGAGCTCTTTTGCCTCGTCTTAGGCGCAACGATGACCTCGGCATCGGGAGATATCTTTGCGAATGGCAAGTCGGCCGGAGGCGAAGGATCCAGTGAGATAACTTTAATATTTGCGGTCGAAGTCGGCGACAAATGTAGCGTCAGCGCATGGGGCTCGACGGGGTTATCACCAATTTTGTAACGCGGGTTCGGGAGCGCCCGAATTTGAGAGATGAGATTTAGTTCGAGGAATGTCGCGTGTAGCTCAATGATCTCCCAGTCCTCCGGCGTAAGGGGTTCAATGTTGATCGTATGCGCCAGCGGAGGATCGAGATGGATGGTAGCCGTGATCTTCTGCCCTTCTGATATACCTAGTGACTTGGCTAGTGTGGCATCGAGTTCGATAAGCTGAACTTCCTGATCGCGGGATGATCGCGAGCCGTTGAGTCCATCGCGGGTCCCAGGAGGAGCGGTCCTCCTCTTGCTGGGCATGCCTGTCCATCCTACGAATATGGAGCGCTGCTGGGAGCCGGCTCCAGTCGGCGAGGCCTCCCGATAGCTGAGCTCGATGATGACATTTTGTGCAGGCTATATATAAGCTATGGTCAGAAAATTGCTGGAGCAAATCAGGGAAGAAGAAAGTTCCTACAGTGTTGACATTGACTAGGAGAGAGACCAGTGATGTAGGAAGGTTGACCAAACAGCTCTTGAGGTGAGATAGGGAGATTTCCGCCGAGACGGACTGCGCATTTCGTCTGGGAGGCATGATGCGCTTGGGCAATTGAGAAGATTCGATTTCGATTTGAGCCGGCCTCTCGTGGGAGGATATTATAACTTGTCGGTGGGAAGAAGCAGAACACCTCAGCTTAAGGTAGGTGCCGAAACATTTCCAATCTGGAGTCCCTTTCTCGTCCCGCAGCCGAGGTCCCTACACGTGCTCGGTGATCATCCCCGTCCCCTTCCCCAGCTTTACGGCTTCGGTGGGTGGCCCATGCTTTCCTGCGATACCGCTGCGGCTGTAATCGTGGCTGATGTCAATTAAACTCAGTGCGTGGCTGTGCGTCGCGAAACGCGAAAAGACGCGATGGATTGGATGTGCGTGCTTGGAAGGCAGGGCCCATCGCAACCACCGTTGCCCCCCTGCGACTGGCCCCGAGTCCACTCAATTTGTGCATCGCGATCGCATCTCTCCATCTATACAGCACCGCACAAACTCGAATTACAGCGCTCTTCAAATTTGAGGTCCTTATAAGATTTCTTCACAATGGCGCTGCGCGAGTTCAAGGCCCCTGTCAGCTATGAGAAGCAGCAACGTCAGTACATTTCCTCCTGCTACTGCGCTTAGCTTCCCGCATAAGCTAATCATCAGTATAGATGCCTTTCAGGAGTTCTTGACAGGATTCAAGACATCACCAGAGCAAACCATCACAACTGCACTAGGCAATATCACCATTGGAGAAGATGACCTCGACGACGAGTATGATTTGATGGACGAGGATGGGCAAGATGCAAACCGGCAACAAGCGAAGGAGCGCCGTGCTCCTCAGTACAAGTACAAGAGTATGCTGCAGCAACTCTCGGATCGAACGATTGACGAGGCGACGATCGATCTTGACGATTTAGCAACCGTATGATTTGCGATACTCCCTTCTCCAGCAAAGTACTAACAAGCTTGTAGTGGGAGAACCAAGCGTTCGATGGTGAGGACAGTATGAGACTTGTTGATTCCATCGAGATGAACACAAAACACTACGTTGAAATATTTTCCCGAGCTGTGGATGAGGTCATGCCTCCAATGAGCGCAGATGTGAAGTGAGTACCCCAGCGACCCAAAGGTTCATGCACCGCCCTGACCAGCGAATAGCTTCAAGGACGATGTTCTCGACGTGTTGATGGCTCGACGACAAATCCGAAACCGAGAATTGGACGAAGCCGCTGAGCGAGACCCTACTGCTGCAGATGACAAG